GAGAAGGTCTTTCAGGTCCCGGTGGAGGTGAAGGATGCCGGCTCCCCACCCCTCAGCAGCACAGCCACGCTCCACTTGTTCATCGTGGATCAGAATGATAATGCGCCCACCATTGTGCACCCAGAGGTCCCCAAGGGCTCCGCCTTTCACCACGCCTTCCCGCTCCCCGTGGAACCTGGGTACCTGGTGACGAAGGTGGTGGCAGTGGATGCCGACAGTGGCCACAACGCTTGGCTCTCCTACCATCTGCTCCAGGAGTCCAACGAAGCCCCCCCTTTCAAGGTGGAACGCCACTCCGGAGAGATCCGGGTAACCCGAGCGCTGAGGGAGCCTGGGGTGTCCCACAGGGTGGTGATTGAGGTCAGAGACAACGGGGTGCCCTCCCTCTCGGCCTCCCTGGTGCTCCTGCTCTCGTCCGAGAACCGTGCTGTGCAGGACTTCCCCAAGTCCTTGGACCGCCTACCGAAATCACCCTCCAGGGCTCCCAACTTAACTCTCTACCTTATCATCTCCCTGGTGGCCATCTCTCTCGTGTCTTGTGTCATGCTGGCCGTGGTGGGAGCCCGCTGCTTCAAATCGGGCCTCTGTGCCTCAGGCTGGTTCCTAGCGCGCTGCTGTAGCCGGAGGACAGACCGGAAGTCCACCGTCAATTTCAACGGGCGCCCACGTCCCGAGGGCTTTATCAGGTACCTTGAAGTGGGCGCCGCTGGAGCTCAGCACTGCAAGTCTTGCCTCTCCCCGATGTCGGAGCAGGGAGATTTCCTGTTTGTGAAGCCCTTCAGCCACTCCACCACTGCGGAGAGCATCCTAGCCTTTGAGCAGGCAAGCAGTGCTTTGCAGACTCCATCGGACGGGGTAAGATGTGCCACAGCCGTGCCCGGCAAGAGCTTCCAGTTTCAGTCCCTTCCCTGGAGTTTTGCCCCAGACTTCCATAATGAGAGAATAGGCTGGTGGGCAGGCGGGGGTGTGTGTGTGTGGATTTCTGGTCTTTCCTTGGCGGAAGCTGCAGGTTTTATAGGGGGCATGTGGCTGTCATTTCGGACTACACAGTCAGCTGCCTTCACTCCTGAGCTCCTGAGCTCGCCACACACCAATATAGTGAAGGGTCCTTGATTGTTAAGCCTTGGAAAAACTGTTCTGCAGGACAAATCATATCAGTATTGTCTGTGTACTGGATCCTTTATAGAGTCATGGAAGCAAGCTAGAGAGGTCCTCTTGTTTGCTCGGAGGAGCTTACTTATCTAGATTTCAAGGGAAAGGCAAGGCAGGTGGGGGTTTCCCCCCCCCCAGCAAATGCAGTTTTGTGGGTTGCATTTTGGTTTCGTTTCCCTTGGGGAGGCGACAGGGATGCCAGCCTCCAGGTGGGACCTGGGCATCCCCTGGAATCACAGCTCATCTCCAGACTACAGAAATCAGTTCCCCTGGAGAAAATGGGTGCTTTGGAGGGTGAATCCTATGGCATTGTATCTCACTGAGGTCCCTGTCCTCCCCAGGTGCCATCCCCAAATCTCCAGGAGTTTCCCAACCTGGATCTGGCAACCCTACCCCCCATCCCTGGTGGCCGGGGTGGGGGGGGGAGGACCTTGCAACCCTAGGAGGAGAAGGATTGATTTTGTGCTGGGGGCAGAAGGAACAGGAAGAGAGATATCTGTGTTTCTTCATTCTGTTTGGGGTATCGGCTGATGCATTCACTCCAGCAGGCTGTGCCTAATGTGGCTGTGTGTTCCGAAGTTGTTTGTAATGGGTCATAGAGTGAGGCTTACTGATTTCACAAGGAGTTATCCCGAAGGAGTCCCCCCCCCAGGCATTCTCCCATGATTTGGGTTCTGTATCATTGTTGAGCAGTATCCAGACTTATCACCATTACAAGGTCATTTATTGCACTGACAGTTTGTAAATAATGTATGGGGGTGAGCTGGGACCATATGGTCTGTCCTACACATGCATTGGGGAGGGAAGGTGACGTGGTACGGTCAGATCTCAGAAGCTAAACCGGGTCAGCCCATGTTCTCTCTAAGCTGTGGAGTCTTGTGAGCAAAAATTCTACTTTGTGAGCGCCTGGCTTTAAAGTTGTGAGCGAGCCGTTTGGCTCCTGCATAAACTAGTTTGTTCTGGAGCCCTCCTTCCTGAGCTGAGACAAAAAGGTGTGAGCCAGAGACTAAAAAACAGTGAGCTAGCTCACACTCACTCAGCTTAGAGGGAACACTGGCCCAGTACTTAGATGGGAAGGCTCTGCAAGGGAGGGCAGTGGCAAAACCGTCTCTGCTTCTTGCTTGCCTCGAAAGCCCCTTGCTGGAGCCGCCTAGAAGGCACTTTACACACACACACACACAGAGGTACAGATGTGTCTGTAAACTGGTCATCCTAACTGGTGACTTTCTCAGCAGGAATCTGGCACACGTACAAAATTCGACGCTGGGAGCTCCACAGGAGCACCTTCTAACGAGACTGGATGCACAGCCTTCCAGGAAGGTCTTTTGCACAGGTCCCAGTGAAATCAGTGGGAATTCCCAGTGGGCTTAGCTGGTGGCGTAGTGGGAATAGTAGAGGGTATTGTGTTAAAAGTGAAAACGCCATTGAACGAAGACTGGGACGTGGCAACAGTGAGCCCACATAAACCTCCCACGTAATTTGCAGACCGTAATTTTAAACCCACCCTCTGTTAATTTCTAGAGTCTTATTTCTCTTTCTGTGTCTCTCTCCACCTCCCTCCATTCTTAATTCTGCTGACAGGCTTAAGATCGGCATGGAAATGAGCATAGTATTTTGCAGCGTGTGCCATTCTGTTTGGATTGTGTTTTTTTTAGTTCCTTGTCTCTCCTCCCTCCCTCTCTCTCTCTCTCTCTCTCTCTCTCTCTCTCTCTCCCTCTCTCTCCAGCTTCTTCCCCCCCCCCCCCCCCCATATTAGCTCTCTGGTGCAGAAATCCTGTGGAATGCTGTGTACCATTTTGAGACCCGGAGGCTTCATTTTTAGGAATGCCTAAATGCACGCGTAGGCGCCTAAATAAAAAGGTGCCATTTCAGAACTTCCGAGATGCACGGTTTTGTTTTGCTTCTCACAAACATAATAAGGAGGGACAGCTGCTCAGGATACATTTAGGGGTTTAAATTTAGGATCAAACGTTTTATTATAGTAGCCTCTGGATCTCCAGATTATAGCGGCTACGGGGGAAGTCAGCGTGTACAACGAAGGGTGGGCAGCTGTGTGCGTTTGTGTGAATTCTCCGCCTCGCTGTGTGCATTTTTACTAGACACCGTATCTTCTGCTGTAGGCGACCATTTTACACACAAGCCTCTGTGTAGGCAGATCTAGGAGTTCAGGTAGCGTTGATATGCATGTCCAGGATGATTCCGGCTGCCAAAATAACAAAGTTGTTGCTTTCCGGAACTCAAGCAGGTCACGTGCTCGCCACCCCTTTTGCTTATAGTGGAGCCGTCCTTCCTGAGCTGAGACAAGAATGAGTGAGGTGAAAAAGCTGTGAGCTAGCTCACACTAACTTAGCTTAGAGGGAACACTGCACCCCACTGTTCCTTTTCAGCAATCCCACTATATCACAGCACATATTTTGGGATATTCTGAGTATTGACATGTGCCATTGTTCGTATCACCCACCCCCTTGCAGGGATTCCAACCCCCCCCCCATCTGGGAGGGGGGGCACACTGCCCCACTGGAGAAACAGTGGCTAAGTTGTTCGTGTTCAAGGGTGGTCAAAAGTATCCAGATCCACTGAAGCAGGTGAATATTCTGCCATTACTTTGAATGGGAGGTGGATTACGTCTTCACCAGTGTTCCCCCTAAGCTGAGTTAGTGTGGGCTAGCTCACAGTTTTTTAGTCTCCAGCTCACGGATTGTTGTCTTAGCTCAGGAAGGAGGGCTCCAGAGCAAAAGGATTTATGTAGTAGCCAAATCATCTGCTCACAACTTGAATGCCAGCAGCTCACAAAGTAGTATTTTTGCTCACAAGACTCCACAGCTTGGAGGGAACATTGGTCTTCACGCCTTGATTTTGAAAGCACTTTTTATCCCACTGTTTTTTAAAGGCGACTTCTCTCTAAATAAAGTGTAGGAGCCGGCCTTTGCACCTTTATAGTTGATTATCAATGCAGGATTAATGAAGGAAATGGCGGGAAGATTTGGACACTTGAATTGTACATCAACAGAGGCATTTATTCCCACTGTGCTCACAAAGAACTGATTCAAACATGAAGTTCATTGTGGCATTTTTTAATGTATTGCTTTGTGTACAGTATGTCCATTGTTCCAGTAATGCAACAATGTGGGTGGAAAGTAATACAGGACTCGCCAATCTGGCCAAAGACAGGGCTGCTGTGTCTCTCTTCTGTTGTGTCTTCTAAAGGCATCATTATTGCTGTGGGTAGTGGGATTTTTGATCTTAAACAACAGGGAAAATGGCAACTTACCAAGTGCGTACATCTCGCGAAAGATAAAAGGAAAATGGAGGACATGGAATCAAAAGTCCTACACTGGCATATTTAAGAAAAGAGACTAAATTAAGAAATTAGCATTTCAGCTGTTAGCAAGAGAGTTAGATCTCTCTGAGTAGCAATTAATTCTGGTGTGTCTCCCCCCCCCCCAGCTCATTCTTTCTGATGTTCTGGTCTTCTCTGGTTTAAACGATTCCCCTTCCAGCTTATTTCATGCTTCGTTTATTTCACAGCATATCTTCTGATCCTACTGAAAAGTTATTCAGGGGACTTCTGCTGGGGAAATTATTTGGAGACCTTCCTCAGTCAGCCAGTCCAGTGTGAATTTGGGGTGGGGTGGGGGTTGTCTCTGCTTCTCTTTGTGAGCTTTGTCAGCTATGGCTGAACCTCACTCAGCATCTCTCCCAGCCTTCTTGTGCAATTTATATTTAAAATATTCCTCCTGGCGTTTACACCAAAGCATGTTCATGACCCACAGCAATGGCCACGTGAAGATTGGTTTGCTTTGTCGCAACAGAAGCATTTCAGCTTTTCTTCTCTTTCTTTTTTTCAGCAAGCACAACCTGTGAACACAGACTGGCGGTTCTCTCAAGCCCAGAGACCAGGCACCAGCGGGTGAGTGAGGAGCAGTTTCTTTTCTTCTATGCCGATGTTCCTTGGTTTCAGGTGTGGACTTGTGCTCTGCCACCGTGCCTCGAACACGGGAGGCTAGAAACCTTTCCAAAGAGGATGGTGTGAGTTTGGGTCTCAGGAACGAGTTGACATGTGGGTGACATTGCTGACAGTTTGGACTGGGGTATTTTTGGCCCTGATGGTTGGCCATTTCTACCCACGGCTACCAAAACTAGGCGGAGATTTTCAAATAATCTTCAGGGGCCGGACAGCAAGGAAGCCTGGGTGCAGTAACTTCCAGTTCTGGTGGGGATAAGTGGATGGTATTTTGTCAGGCTATCAGTCAAGAACAAAAGAGGTGAACATGTTTGGGCCTTGAAGTGGTCTGATATGCAGGAATCCTCAAGGGAAAGTTATTCACTGCCATAGGAAGTGGTGGCGGCTACATGCATGGACAGCTTCAAAAGGGAATTAGATATGGAGCAGAGGTCCATCAGTGGCTATTAGCCACAAGATATAGATAGGGACTCTGGGGCAAGTGATGCTCTGTCTTCTTGGTGCTTGGGGGTGTCAACAGTGGGAGGGCTTCTAATGTCCTGGCCCCACTGGTGGACCTCCTGAGGGCACCTGGTATTCTGGGCCACTGTGTGACACAGAGTGTTGGACTGGATGGGCCTTTGGCCTGATCCAACATTGGCGTCTCTTATGTTCTTATTGCAGTGCGAGGTGCATCACTCTGCTGTTAAAAGGGCAACCACAGGGGCTTTTATAAAGTCAGCATCATATTCAGCTTGAGGAAGGATTCTGGACTATGAAGCCCGGTATTCCTTCTCTAGCTTAGGCTATTTGGCATCCAAACCAGAGCAGCTTTTCTTTGTGAAGTATCTACGCAACATCCTCCTTTAGCACCCACTTCTCATGTTTCCCCCTGCTTTCCTGCAATCTTTCTCAATTGACCTTTGCAGAGAAATGGTAGTTAGAGAGTGTTTGCATGCCCTGTGGGTTTTACGGGGCATTTTTACAAGGTCCTATCACATGGGCAGCATTATTTATTTTATTTTTATTATTATTTATTAAACTTCTACCCCGCCCTCTCCACACATGGACTCAGGGCAGCTTACAAACAGGGCATTTCCCCTGCCTTATCCCACTCCTGCATCTACTTTCACACACACACACACACACACACACACACACACCATTCTACCAAACAGCTTTGGGGAGTTTATTAGTTGCTGTAGATTTTCCGGGTTGTGTGGCCGTGGGAGCTTTTTAAAAAAAATACCCGGCAACTGACATATCTTTAGAGCACCACATCAACTTATCAACTAGGTCCTCTGAATTCTAAATTTTCTTTTTTTAAAAAAAGTAAATCTCTAGCTCTTTCTGTTTACAGAGATACACTTGTGCTATTATATCTCTGCAGTGAAAAGGGCTAGAAGCTTAAAAAGAAAAGCTGAGAAATCAGAGGACTTAGTAGATAGATTGGTATAATATTATAACACTCTAGAGATAGGTCTGTTGCCAGCAGAGCCCTCCGGTGAGCAAAGGGAAATGTGGGGAGAACTGCCATGTGGATGTTGTGTTGCCACTGAGAATGTCACCATGTGAAGCAGCCGTAGTCAGGATGTGTGCTTGAGATAGCAGTGGTGGAACATCAAAACCTTCTCACATCTCCCATAGATGTACCAGAGTTTTCCAGTATACTGAAAACTCTAGAATCACACATTCGTTATAGATGCTGTACCTATCTGATAAAGTCAGCACAGTCTAGTCTCAAAAAAAAAAATGCCCGTCGCAAGAAAAGCTGGGATGCCAGTTGCCTTAGGAGGTGCTAACAGTGGGTGCGAGGCATTCTGGCAAATATTCCAAAGCCCTTCTTGGTGCATCCCCCCCCCCAGTACTTAAAACAGCCCTACAAGGTAGGCCAGGTTGATTATTCCCATGTTGAAGATGGAGGGGAAGCAGCTTGTCCAAATTTACTTAGGACGTTCTTGATTCACTTCTCACCTTAGCTACACACTCTGTAACTTCAGAGTCTTGCATCTTCCCAGGCCCATAGCTGGGATTTTTTAATTCAGGAGGCCTTTAAATAAATCAGGGGAGCACCCTGCACACACACCCCAAAATTGGGAATCACAGGGCCTGGGGGGCCAGGCCCCAAGATGCCCCACTGTAGCTACGGGCCTGCATCTTCCCCCTTCCCTGTAGTCTCACTGCTTTTTAAACTAGCTCTGGTTCAGTGCAGCCGACTTTTAGCATCTCAGGCTTTTCCTGAAATAGATCTGTGTGTGTGTGTGTGTTTGGGAGGGGATGAATTTCTGGGTGTCCAGCTGCTGTGAAAGGCATAGGAGCATGAACCCCTGCAAAGTAATCATGGCAGTGGTGTTGATCAGAACGTACCTTATACCTGGTTGGCATTTGGGCATCTGCATAACAATTTATTTATTTATTTATTTATTAAGATTTATACCCCGCCCTCCCCGCAGAGCGGGCTCAGGGCGGCTTACAAGGGGCAAAGCCCATATAAAACAGATAAAAGCAATAAAACAATCATGACAGTTAATAAAATTATACTCAGTTTAACAAGATGGTCTCCAGATGGTTCTCCAGGGTGATGTTATCCTGTAGCTCAACCAGGTAAATCCAGTGGCCACGCAGAAATTGTGGCAGATCCTCCTGGGCCATCCTTACCCCGATGTTGTCCACCTTATTGGTGGCGGTGGTAGTGGCGGCCCCTATGTGAAAGCATGGCGGAAGAGCTCCGTCTTACAGGCCCTGCGGAACTGCATAAGGTCCCGCAGGGACCTGATCTCCTCCGGGAGCTCGTTCCACCAGGTAGGGGCCACCACTGAAAAGGATCTGGTCCTTTTGACAATGGGCTTGCCGCCTACCTGTCACTCGAGAAAACATGTGTTTTGTGTCACAGGATGCAAACTACTTAGTCATTGTGTTGACTGTGCTTAGCTTGCAAACACCACTGGATGCATCCACCCACTTCTTCCTCTGCTGCCCAGTGATTTAAAGGCACCCTTGGCAGGAAGGTAAATGGAGGAGATGTTCGTGTTATTTTCTGGAATGTGTGGCGCATGCTGCACAGGGAGCCCGGCCCATACCCATGCTGGTTCCCCAGCTGTACCGGTCCCCAACCATTCCACAAGCACATGACAAGCTCTGGGTGCTTTGATCTTCTTACATTCATGCGCAAAACAGAATATCTTAAAGAGGTGGCTTATAGTATAAAGCGAGGCATAAATTGCATAGATCTAAGCAGATTCACAGTTTGGGGGTTGTTGGCTTGTTTGTTTTCCTGGCATGGCTGCTGTGCATCTAACAGTTCTTTGGGAAGCAGGAATCTCATTCCTTCCTTGCGTAGCTGGAAAAGCTTCACTGGCAGAATCCTTGCCTTTTGCGGAACTGTCAACATCTCAGGGAACCCCGCCAGGAAATGATGGCAGTCTTAGTCCCAAGTGCAATAGAATGAGGCCCTGAGTGTTGGAGGACTTTTTTTAATTCCTGGACCACAAGAATAACCGGGGAACAGAAGGCAGAATTATTCGCCTTCAAAGAGAGGATCACACATCAGTGTGTCTCGCTTACAGCTGTACTAACTCCTCGTATTTGCACCGATGGTGATTTCCCACGTTGTAGAAAGGAGTGGTTCTTTGTATGATCGGTGTGTTTTCAGCGTGTTAATTTTACTCCTCCTTACTCTGCTACGCCTCCCAGTTCAGGCCTTTTCCATTTAGAGTACTTCTGCCGCAGCCTGTGTTCGTTTTTGGTACCTATCCCAGCAGCTTTGTGCAAAAAGGAAGTCGGTGATTGCCAGCACTCTTTCTCAGCATCCGAGGGCCCACAGAGACAGACATCACCTTAGCAGAGAGCCTGCATCTTTAAGACGTGTCAGATTTTTCCCACATCCAGCTGGGAGGAAACCTGTTCCTCAGGTTTGGAAGAGAAGCCAGATTGGCACAGCACGGATCGGTATGCCATAGGGTCAGCCACGAAATCCTTTCCCTCCCCCTTCATCGAAGCTATTGATTTCCCCACCCACACTTTTTAAGGAAAAGGTAAAGGTTTCCCTTGCTCGAAAGCCAGTCGAATCCAACTCTCGGGTTGCGGTGCTCATCTCCGTTTCAAAGCCGAAGAGCCAACGCTGTCCGAAGACGTTTCCGTGGTCATGTGGCCAGCATGACTAAACACCAAGGCGCACGGAACACTGTTACCTTCCCACAGAAGTGGTACCTATTTATCTACTTGCAATTTCTTGCTTTCGAACTGCTAGGTTGGCAGGAGCTGGAACCAGAGACAGGAGCTCACTCCGTCATGCGGCACACTTGGGTCTCGAACTGCTGAACTACCGACCTTCCAGCCTGCAGTTCAGTGTCTTAACCACTTGAGCCACCGCACCCACTTTTTTACCCTTCATCAAACTTTGGAGGTCATAACTATTGCCAGGAACACCGGGTGGGGGGAAAGATGTCCTTTTTAAAGTATGGAGGGGGGCGAGGATAGGCCAGCACAGGACCCAGGGGCTGTGCATGTGTCACTGCAGGAGTGGAGGTGGGGGTGTAGGGTCGTCAGGTCCCTTCTGGTCATTAGTAGGGGATTAGGGGTGTAGGGTTGCCAGCCCCAGGTTGGGAGATTTGGGGATGGAGCCTGGGGAGGACAGGGACCTCAGTGGGGTACAATGCCAGAGAGCCCACCCTCCAGAGCACCCATTTTCTTCAGGGGAACTGATGTCTGGAGTCTGGAGATGAGCTGTTAATTCCCTCTAAGCTGTGGAGCCCTGTGAGCAAAAATTCTACTTTGTGAGCTACTGGCATTAAAGTTGGGAGCAGGTGATTTGGCTACTGCATAAATTAGTTTGCACTGGAGCCATCCTTCCTGAGCAGAGACAGAAATGTGTGAGCCAGAGGCAAGATCCCAGATCGCCGCAGACTGTGACAGCAGCCATGAAATTAAAAGACGCCTGCTCCTTGGGAGGAAAGCGATGGCGAACC